AAATATCTTCTGCAAAAAAATCAAGAAAACAAATAAACAAAGCCAAAAACCCCACACATACATAGATTTAGTTCCAAGCACATTAGATTAAAGACCACAGAAGAATATGTGATGTGGTAGTAGAGAACTGTTTCTAGTTAGTGAGATCGTCTGGATAGTGGTCACACGTGGTATTACAGTTCACTGAACTGCACAGTAGCACAGAAGTGTCTTCACTCTCTCCTGAGGGCTGACCCTGAGATTGGAAAGGTACGAGAAGCATGATTCTGTTTTCTCAATCCCTGAATTCTACTGAAGTGATTGAGAAAATTTTTGGAATGAGGTTTAAAAAAAAAAGAAGGAAAGAAAGAAGGAAAGAAAATAAACCACAGCAAGTAACCATCAGACCTGTTCAGCCACATCAAGACTCAGGCCAAGCAGATGTATCTGCTCCTTATACATCATGACACAGGAGCCATGACGCATTTGCAGCTTTATTTATAATTAGAAATGACAGGCACATCGGTTAAGATGAGAGGAGAATTCAGATTTGCTGAGCAATATATTTTTAATTTTCTTTTTGGAGACAGGGTCTTTGTATGCAGTTCAGGCTCCTCTCCAACATGAAGTGAAGCCAGTCTTCCTTAGAAGAAGCTCCTCAAGTTAGGATTAAAGGCATGGGCCACAACTCCTTGCTAAAAATTAATCTTTTTACTGACAGTTCAGTCATCCTGATATTACCGCTAATGTCTAGATTCACTTTTTTTAACCTATTTTTTTTTTGATAAAGAGTCTCTTGTAGCCCAGGCTGTTCTCCAGTTTGCTATATTGATAGGGTAGCCTTGAATTATTGATTCTTCTGCCTCTATCTCCCTAATGCTGGAATTAGAGGTAAGTACCTATATGCCCAGGCAGTCTGACTGGGCATGATGCCTCATTTCTGTAATCTCAGCATTGGAAAAGCTGAAGCAGGGGGATTCTCTCAAGTGTATGATTAGCCTGGTCTTCATATTAGTCCAGGCCTGTATGGGCTACAGAGTAAGGGTCTCCTGCGACCTATCAAAATAAGCTTGTCTAGAAACACAGAGTTCACACACACACTAGGGTTTTGAGGCAAATGGGATTATTGGTGTTGTTACTGGCGAATGGGTCACAATTGTAATTACTTCATTTTGGCCACATTTTCAGGCATCTCCTATAGGACCTGCTAAGACTGTGATTTCTGCTTCTACTGGTCAGAGGAAGAGGGAGAATCCAGGCTTGAAAGTGTGACTAAATATGCTGATTGCATTATGTTTTTATTTTTAATAAGTTGAGCCACTCTTACTTGAGGAAAGAAGCAGTATTTCATTATGGTGCGTTGTGAGGATTTGAGTGAGATTAATAACCTTTTAATATGGTGTACCTGCAAATTTGCTAATCAAGTTGTGTTTGCATTACAGTATGTGACGTCCTTCAGCAAAGCTCAGTCCTTAGATAATTTTAAAAGTATGTAACCCAATATTAATTAGTGTCTTATTGTTCAGTCATCTTGCTGGTACCACACTGATATTAATTATAACACATGACTATTGAATGAAAATTTATATTTCAACTAGCATTTTTTAATAGTTTAGTAAATTTTAAGTACCTGGAGGGCTTAGAGGATAAAGTGTTTTTACTTGCTCTATTTTGTTACCAAGAGTTGGCTTGAGACTTTAAAACCCTTAGGTATATAATCCATTTTGATGAATTTTCTATTTTTTTTAATTTATTTTTATTTATTTTTTGAGTGTGGGTTACCCTATGTATCCATGGCTGGCCTGGAACTCACCGTGTAGACTTCGCTGACCTCAGACTGACAGAGATAAGCTTGCCTCTGTCTTCTGAGTGCTGGGATTAAAATGTCCACCACCTGGCATGACAACTATGTATTCTTGATGAATTGAGTTCTGTTTGTGGTGATTTGTTATTTTGTGGCGTATGTCAGGATTGCCCATCTTTAGCAGAGCCCCGTTTCACTCCTAGTTCTCCATCTTTTCTCTAAGTGTTGAGATGGACTCTTGCCGTCTGTCTGATTCAGATCCAGGATTATTATCTCCAGCCTGGAGTCTTGCTCCCTTCGGAGGTGGACTCATCTCTGAATGCTTGCTCGACTGGTTATTTGTGGATCTACAGACTCTTCAGTCAAGCTTGGGCTAAGCTGACCCTACCTCTCTCCTAAACCCGTCCTTCCTCCAGCGATTGCTACTGCTACTCCACAGAACATGTGGCATCATGCTCAGATCACTCCTGTCCTGCATTTGAAACCCTCCTTCACTCCGCACAACATCTCCAAATCTCTCTTGGATTACCAAAAGCCTTACTGCTGATTTCATCCAGTTAAGACAAGACCACTGACAGGATTTGTAGTTTGCTGACAACCAAACTACAAATCCTGTCAGAGTTTTGCTCCAGGCCCTGCAGCCCTCAGCACAGTTCTTAGTTCCTCTCACACCTTCTCATATACTCAGGAGATCTGTAGATGGGCACGGTGGTCCATGTTGGCAATCCCAGCATTCAGAAAGGAAGACCAGGAGTTTGAGGCCAGCCTGGGCTTTATAGCAAATTCCAAGCTATCCAGGGATACATATCAAGAATTTGTCTCAAAAACTAAACCAAACCAAACCAAACCAACCAACCAACCAACCAACCAACCAACCAACCAACCACAACCCAGAGACCTACCTGTGTTTGTATATATCCTGTTCCCATTTCTCTTTTGTTTGGTTTACTCTGATTTTTCCTTTTGGATGTTTCCTTCATTAGGATCACACTGAATTTTGTCACTATTTACCCATAATTCTCTATGCAGTCTAGGTATGGCATGTGCATCCAGGAATGTCTGACCCTGCCACAATGGAAGTTCTCATAGCTTCATTTTTCTTGGTCCCTTTCCTGCTTCCTAGCCTTCTGGGATGACCTGCACTGATCTCAGGAGCTCACCCCCACAGGAAAGACAGTTCTGAAATGTCCACCCTTTGGAGTGTTACCAAGTTCTGTATTCTCAAGAAAAGATATTTTGAGATCAAAAGAGGTAACAACCTTTTGCTAACTGTTTCTACCTCCGTGCACAGCGGAGCTCCAGGCTGGGCTTGGAGAGCCAATACCAGTGGGGCACTTTTCACATACGAATCTTACACGACAGTCACATGCTCACAAGAAGTGCATCCACGGAGTAGTTTTAAAGCAAAGTTGATATTTAAAAACAATCCTGAAGTCTTTGAGTGGAAGGCCCCTTTTTCCTCTACTCCACAAAACTTCGAGTACAGAGATTGTTGATGGTCCCACTTCTGTGACGCTGATTTTAGGTCACTGCCTCTTCAACATTATATGTAATTTCTGTCCCTTTGAGGAGTCTGTAATTCAGTTTGTAAGCCATAGCACCTACTGTCTTTGTCCAGTGACATTAGGTGCCTGAAATATCATGTGGGGAGCAAATCCAAGTGTCTCAGTGTTTGGAACTTCCTGAGTGCCAATCATATTTGCCTACAGTCAGCTGGGTCTGCCGAGCCCTTGTTCACACTGAGGCATCAAATCTGACTCTCATGAACGGTCCCTGCAGCTCTTAAACCTTTTTGCTGTCCTGCATCCTTTAACATCTTTACATCTTTACCCATTTCCCATCTTCTCTTGCCCTTTTTTTTTTCCTGCCTAACGTGAACTGACCTGTGGCCACCAGCATTTCTCCTGTCCTAGACTCTGCCACTGAACAGCTCAGCCAACCTGCAGCCTTGCATCACAGATCCTCTCTCTGCTCTTCCCATTCTTCTGGAGCTGGGCACTCTGAAGCAGGTCACAGATCAGAGGGACGAACTACAAATCCAGGGCCTTATTGGGTGTCACCCTCACTCCATCTGCTTATCATTAAGTGCTGTCTCGTGTCCCTCAGCAGATTCCAGTCTCAGTCCTTTCTCAGGCGCTCTCCCTTATCGTTACTCTCACCTTTTGAGCACCTGAATATCTTGTGACCTCCTCTTCCTTAACCCAGAGACTCCTAAACACTCCTGAAAAGAGACACAATGGCTGCTCTGACAGAGTTTGCCAGGCTGAGAACAGGCTGGTCTGCCACCAGGGCCTTGCTGGCAGTAGCGTGGATTGCTTTTTAATATTTCACACAAGTCTAACCATCCATGGTGCTGGCAAGGATGTTCTGTTCCACGAGGTCAGTATATTGTTTCCCCATTACTTTCTCTATGTGGGTGGGGTCTCTTTAACCAGCCTTCATGCTCAGTTCAAGTATGTCCTTCCTAAGGCTTCTGGGCCTCCTTAATTACTGATTTGTATTGCACTCACCACTTTGAAGACGTGGCCTGCAGACTTTCCTCACTTTTAGTTTTCTCTTTAGTCCAACATGACTTAGCTGCACTCTGGCTGCAGTTCATTATGGCTTCTGCCATATATACAGTGACAATGACTGCTTCATAAGTTCCATAGATAATTTTCTTTTCCCAATCAGTCACATTGGTAGGTACTGGTTTTGCTGTGCTTCCTGGAAAGCGGTGTCCTTAGCTCTATGACTCTGACATTACTAGGCTCTCTGAATGCTGTTTCCTTAATCTCTAGATAGTTGTTGGTTCCTCTTCCTCTGTAGATACCTTAAATGTTGGTGTTCTGAAGGTTTATTTTAACCTTGCTTCTGTTCCTGTGCACAGAAGTTTTTCATGTTTTGACAGGGCAAATACCTGGGATCCCAGCCACTTCGGTAGCTGGTTGGATAGAGTCATGGGTCTGTATGTTTCTCCTCTGTGTCTGTGCTTTCAGGTACCCTGTCCCCACCTAGCTCGAGAGCAGTAGGCTTCTCTTCTAGGGACACACGTTTATCTGACCCTTATCGAGGCACTTACAGGATACACAATCACAGAAATTACAGTTGTCTTCTTGTATTTTTTTGGTTTGTTTAATTAAACTCCGTATTTATGATACACAGATATGGTTTGTGAGCATACCCTCCTCTCTGAGGAGCAGAACGCTTTATGGTCGTCATGCTGCAGAGTCTGCGCTGCAGCTATACTGTGTGTTAAGCCAGAGTGTGGTGGATAAAGGCTGGTAAGACACTCTCCACCCATGTTTGTTTTGTTGTTATCTCCCTTTCTTAGAGCGTGAGTTCTTACAAGTGTCTGCCTTTTCCATGTCTAACTTTTCTCTATGCATGATGCCTATGTAACATACATTCAACTGAGTGCATAGACACATGTTTATATAGGTTCAGCTAAATTTGAATAGTCTGCATAGTGGGTTGGGAAACAGCTTGTTTAATAGACAGGTCTTAGCTCTGAATTCCTTTTTATTTGTATCTGTGAACAGATTCCTTTTGAGTTTTTATCTAAGGAATGGAGATAACCCACCTTCGGTTATGAGAGGATTACATGGAGATGTGAAGTGTCTTGCACTATATATAGTAGTTGACACACTAAGCAATGGTTTTGATGCTCACAGCTAATGAGACAGAACATTTGTTGCATCCAACTTCTTTCATTGAGAGGCCTCAACTACATGATCTGGCAGTTTTCTTATGTGCTAAAATATTTCTAGAAGTAATATTTTATGTTTTGAACAGCTTTCTACAACAACTATAACTACAACAACTATGAGTATTTCTTGGTATGTCACATTTGTGAGTTTGATCTAGTAGTAATTAATTAACTTTATACCCTGGAAAGCAATTTCAAGCTTTGCAATGGCATTTGTTGAAGAGTTGACCCTTCTAATAAAGTGCGAAGGGCAGCTGGCTTCCATGAATCACTGTAACAGGGCAATGTAAGTGCTGAGGTAGGAAGCAGAAATGTTTCCAGGAGCATATTTGAGAACATTACTCAGAATCAGATAAAATTAAATGTGAGGATTATACTACATTCAACACCACCTTTATGATTACAAAAACAAACAGCACAGAGTGTTTGGTCAGATGATCTGTTAATTTGTAGTGCATGTTTAGCAGGTGTGAGGATCTGGGGTCAGTGCCCAGCAATTCAAAAAGAAAACCAGACAAGAATCCCTCTCAAACAACTAAAACTCAGTCAAAGAAAACTCCTTAGATGAGTACTCTTATTTCAAGTGTAGGCTTTTAGGTTCAATGTTGTTTAAAACCAAATGAGGTCAGGATGAGACTATGGGGAGAAGAAAGTCTTTAACAGATGATCCTGAGGATGCTCTCCGTTGTCTTGCCCAACTCTGGGAAGCTTAAGCTGATGCTAATATTGTTTTTGTCTATTTATTTATTTATTTATTTATTTATTTGCAGTTTCACTAACATGGAGGATGAGTTCTTTGGAGAAAAAAGCTTCCAACGTTATTGTGCAGAATTCATCAGACATTCACAACAGATAGGTGACGGCTGGGAATGGAGGACAGCCAAGGTGAGAAGAGAAGATGTGTTCCTTTGTTTCTGTGTTTTGATGGGTCTTACTACACAATGTAGCTAGCCTGGTACTATCTATGTATCCCAGGCTTCCCTCAAACTCACAGCAATCCTTCGTCTCTGTCTCCCGGGTGCCAGGTCACAGGCTTTGGTAACCTCACCTGGCTACAACAGGGACTCCTGTTTCCTTGTTTATTGGAGGGTTATTTATTTTTGTTGTATAAAAATATCGATAATAGATAATAAGGAATAACAGTGAGGTTGATTTAACAAAAGGCATGAATTTTATAGCATTCTTTAAAACATGTCCATTTTATTATTCTGTCTACATATAATCATGATTATTTGGCTAATAAAGTATTATCTAGAGAAGTCCTTAGGTGACCTTACTGAATTAATAGATAAGGTCCCTTACAATATTAATTATTGCTGTGTAAACAGATGTTTCTCGGAGCTTCATACTCGTTGTTTACATTATAAATTCTCTCTCTCTGTCTCAGTTGTGAGATAGGCTCTGACCTTAACTTTATATCTTATCAAAGATGACATTGAGCACTCTCCTGCCTCTGCCTCTCAAGTACTGGAGTTAGAGGCTTGTGCCACCACACCTGGCTATACTAAAATATTCTTAGGACGCTATTTTTGTCTAGAGCAATAGTTCTTAGCCTGTAGGTTGAGATCCCTTTGGAGGTCACATATTAGATATTTACATTATAATTCATAATAATAGCAAAATTGCAGTTATGAAGTAGCAACAGAATAATTTTATGGTTGAGGGTCAGCACAACATGAAGAACTCTGTTAAGGGGCCTAGAGTTACGAAGGTTGAGAGCCACTGGTTTATAGAGTGATGGCAATGGTTGTCCTGAAATCACATCAAAGCCCAGCACTCACAGAGTCTTGAGGATTAAGGACCATGGAATTTGAGAACTTCTTAATAACATAAAGATCATACAGGATGCTTTGTCTTTTGATTCTATTATAAAATAATGTAAAAGCCTTATATACTCTTGTATTTCACAGTTGGTAATGTTGTCTGCTAAAAGCTTTCTGAGCGTAGCCTGAAGTCTTTTTAGAGAACAGGTTTTCCCTGTCTGACATTTTAGTTGATTCATGACCATAACAGGCTCTTGCTTCTCTGCTTCCTGGTTCCGCTTCCTGTGTGCATCTGAGACACCGGAACATTTGGACTTAGTTCCCACGATCTAGAACTGAGCCGGGAGATGCAGGTCCTGCGCCTACTCAGAATGCCACTGGGCTGAAGCCATGGGTTCTTTGGGGTCATTTCCCTGAATCAGGCTCTGGCTGGTGGCTCCTGGGCACTTGTGGGTGTTCTCAGATTTACTCTCCGCCTGGTGACTCAACAGTGTGTTACTTTGAGACAGGGACTTGCTCTGTGGTGCAGCTTGCTTCCCCTGGACTGGGATTACAGGCATGAGTCTCGGTGATAATCAGACCTTTAACCCCGAGGGGCCTTTCCTGGTGTCCTTTGCAGACAGTTGACTTTATTTGCACCTTTAATTGATTTTATTCTTGGGTAGCTTATAGTTTTCTTTACTATTAGGTTTGAGTTTTCATTCGAACTTTCTATGAGTTATATTAAGGAATCACTATCTCTGCATGTTAATCTTACACCAGTAACTTTGCTGTGTTCTTACTGCATTCCTTGTTGATATTCCTGTGTTGTTTCACCATTGAGTAGGAACATTTTAAATAATAATCCTAACAGCTCTCTTTCTTTAGCTTGATTTACTGTTAATTGTTCTGATATTCAATGAGTCTAAGTCCTTCCCTCCTTTTTTCCCTCCCTCCCCCCTCCCTCCTTTCCTACCTGTCTTGGTGTTAGGAACTGAAGCTCATGTATAGGTTTCTGACTCATCCTCTTTTGTAAAGGTACTTTTTATTTGGCAATGATAAATTTTAAGAATTATAACACATAGTAAGAAAAAGCAGTGTTCTCAAATACCCTTTATGTCCTGATTTTGAGAATCAGGACAATAAATCAGTGTTCCTGAAAATTCTCAGAAATTTCACAATTATGATTATTTTTAAAATACTTTTCTAACCATTTTCACACTCTGTAGTTTGGTAGTTACAATTCATGTTTAAAGACTAAATATACTGAATTTCATAGTACTTTCAAAGAACTAGAACTTTCAGGAATATTCTAATCATGAAAAGCATAATTTAAGAACCAGGTCTCCCAGCAAGGTAACCAATAAGCCCTTCATGGCCCGTTTTGGCTTATAACCTCCAGGGACCATGTGGGAAGTTTCTCTCTGCCCTTTGCCCTTTTTATTTTGTTGTTGTGTTTTTGAGACAGAGACTTATGTAGCCCTGGTTGACTTTCAGTTCATCTTGTAACTGAGACTGGCCTTGAACTCTGATTCCTTAGACCCTGCCTCCCAAGTGCTGGGATCACAGGCAGGTTGCACTGTATCTATCTCTGCCTGCTACCTTCTATACATCAGTTGGCAGCAAGGTGATAACGCTGTTAACATTTCAGAGAGCTAATGGAGTAGGGTGGGGTCTGTATGCCACTGGGTGTGAAATGAGGTAGTGCTAGGGTTCAGGGGAGCTTTCAGGAAGGAAGTTGTTTCTACCAGAAGTTCTTCACTGTATTTGTAAACTATGACCTTCGACTTTGTTACTGACCAGTCTTTGAAACAGCATAGTTAAGTCTAATGTCATGTTTACTGTCCTTCAGGCTGCTGAGTTAGGAAAGGTTTCTACCCTTTAGTGTGAGAGTTATACCTCTAATTAAGGGTCTTTCCTCCAAGTAGGATAAGCTCTTAGATGCCAACACCAACACCAGAGAAAATCTAGATAGCCTGAAGACACTGACTGTAAAAGCAAATGTCTGTGGAGACCGGGGTGGTAACGTACATGAGACAAACCTTCAGGGATTAGCAATGTGCAAAATGACTGACAGTAAGTGTCTGTCCAGGTTGTCTGAACGTTGATATCTTTTGATATTTTGGGAAAAGTAAAAACTCCTGATTTAGGAGAAGTTTCTGAATTGTTAAGTGTTGGTAACTGGTTAAAAATCATGATCTGAAACACTGTGAAGATAAACCAGACTTTAGTGATGTGTCCTGAGTGGTCTATGGATGGGCAGCACAGGAATTCTGGGGTCAGGTGTCTGTATAACTTGACTGGTTCCTCAGCGAGCCCTGCCTCAGTGTATGTGCCTGATCTGAGCTGTGAAATGGAGGGACTCCATGCTGCCTCTACACGGGTTCAGGGCTGCTAGCCTCTCATGTGATCCATTTTGCTGCTGAACTCCCCCATACCTTATTTGTTCTATTTAAACATAGTTAACCCTTTGCAAGATATTTCTGTTTAGGTCCTACTTCCTGCATGATTTTTTCCTTGTATTCAGTTGGAACTCTATTTTATCACAGAATAATGTAGAAGCTGCTTAACATTGAGCCTTCTACACAACTACAGTGTCACTGTCCACTACAGCTCACTTCCTTCAGTTCTTTCTCTAAATGCCCAGAAACAAAGAACATTTGTCAGTGCTAGAACACAAAGTATCATGAGGGGATTCTAAATCTCGGTGAATTTCCAGGGACAGTGGGAGATCTGTCTCAAAAAAGGGGGCCAGGGGAGTGGTTGGAGGGCAAAAGACTGGTATACTCTATATGGACAGACAGCATCCGTGTGCTTCCTGCATGTACATACACAGGGGAGGATTAGGGGATGCGGCATGCTCCAAGTTTAGACATTGTACACTCAGATTCAGTTATGAATTCATTTCTTTCTGATTTTTTAAATTGTTTTGAAATAATAATATTAAGCTAACAAACTTTAAAGCCCCACCCACTTATTTTTTTGACTATTGGTTTAACTTGAACTTCACAGTAATATTTATAATGTTCACTCTCACTTTACCCTTTGCCTCTCTCGGAGTTAGGTCATTTTGTGTTTTAAGGAAAATGAAAGACGCCACTGTATGAACCATTGCTCTTCTCCTTATACCACATGGTTAATGATGTTTATTATGGTGAATCATAAAACATGTCTACAGGCGTCTTCCCTCGGGGTTACTGTGAGCTTATTGCAGTCCATGAAACCTAATGTCGTCTAAGAAGGTCTCTAGAATTCTCTGGACAGAGGTGCTACAAATCTCAGCTCTATTTTTGTGCATCCATGAAATCTTAAGTATGTATTTAGAAATTTAATATCACAGTAGGCTGGAGATGTAGCTCAGGGAAATCACACCTGCCTACCAACACGAGGCCTCCACACCGTAAAAACAAAAACAACAAAAAAAGCTCATTTCACCTTTTCTTCTAGAGTTTTCCATTTGTTAATTGTGTTTGTTATATATGTGTGTCTGTTCAGACATGTCATATTTGTGTGTGTGTGTGTGTGTGTGTGTGTGTGTGTGTGTGTGTGTATAGGCCAGAGGTTGATGTTCAGTGTGGTTCTTAATCACTCTGTATCAGATTTTTTGATATCTAGTCTCTTAGTCATGGAGTTCACTAAATTTGTTGAGTTTATTGGTGGTGGTGAGATTCTGGACTGGTGTTTCCTGGTTCTTGGCCTGTTATTGTTGTAATAAAGGCTCACACATATCCCAGAGTAGCGAGAAATGTTTACTTAAAGCAACATGGTAGCATAGGTAAGAAAGAACTATGAGTGAGTGTTCTCAAGAGCTCCAGGCATTGCATGGAGTTTCCTCCAATGGTGTTCAACAGGAGCATGGTTGCTGAGGGATACTTTGGGTGGTTCTCCATTTTGATTGTAAACCTTTGCTCTCTGAGTATGTCTCTTCCCATAATGCATTGAATTTATGCCATATGCATAAGCATGAGATGGTAAATAAAAGAGTTTCCCTAAAAGTTAACTGAGGGGGCACAGTCTTTCTCACTGAGCATGAGGAAGACTAGAATGGGAAGACCCATTCTAGGCCAGTCCCTGACAACTCTACCCAGGAATATCTGAGTTATGACCTTTCTACTCAAGTATGTCTGAGTTATGATTGAATAG